TAGATGGGAACCATGAAGGAAGAGATGTGGGAGCCCTCAGCTTCAATGACAAAGATGTGAGTTGTTTGAGAGGGCCAGTGACACATTGGTGGAAAATGACGGAATTAGGCAACTTTTTACGTGCCTGAGGGGTCCCCTCATTAATGGAGGAGCAGAAGGTCATTAAAACAAGAGAGCTAGTCTCTAAAACAGACATGGATATGGCTTGATGCTAATATGTTTGTTAGCTGTCAGAATTCTGAGAAGAAAATCAGAATTCTAAAAAAAGGCAGACTTCTGAGATTAAAGTAAAAAGTCAGAATTCTTACTTTTTCCCATAAAATTTAAAAATCAGTTAACTTTTTTTTCAGTGGCCCTAATCCTCTTCTGTAACCAGCCTCTAGTGAGACAGGCCTAAAATTTTCCTTTTTCATAAAGCTTGTAGTTAGAGTGGCTCCGGTTCTCCTGAGCTACAGTAATGCTGCTATAGGCTTAGACTGCTGGAGGACAGCGTCCCCATTTATGCTACCCTTTTAAAATCGTGCCGAGAGCGGTCCGAGCACGATAACCAACATAACTGTAAAGGTGTAAACGGAACGTTACTGAACTGGGCCGTACCAGGTGAGGTGGTGGTGGGGTGGGATTTTTGCACTGTAGTCGACCAAAATCCTGGACGATTTTGAAATTTCCTTTCGGACATTTTTTTATGTATGAAAAATAGGACATGTCCGGGAAAAAGAGGACGTCTGGTCACCCTACCACATCAACAATTTGATGTTTCAGTGACTGAGTGCTTGTTGCTATGATGCGTCTTTGCTCACTAGCTTCGCTCGCTGTAAACCAACCAATCAGCACACAGCTCATCTAAATATTCATGATCAAACCATAAAAGGAAGAAAACCTGTTGCTTCATTCTAGCTCTTTTAACCAGGCTGCATTAAGGCTCATAGAACAGCAAATATATTCAGAGACATTAAGGAGCAGAACCAAATACCCTCTAGAATCATTCTATGACCCCTTTAAAGACATATTTTGATTTAACATTTAGAGATAGAATATAGATTTAGATATAGATACAAGTTTTAGATGTAAATTACAGACGTAGATATAAATACACTATATTGGATTAGATTTAATATATTATATTTAGCATTTTTTCACTTAATGTTAAAAAAAAACACTAATTTGCAGAGTGTGTTGGATAACAAATGTAAAATAAAAACTGCTTTGCTAAATTTAATTCAGTGCCCCATATCTATAAATGTTAAGATTAAGCAGATTCCAGCAATGGACAGTAAAAACACAATAATGTCATCACAGTTTTATTACCCAAAGCAAACATTTGCTCTTGTTTAATCCCTTTGACAAATTTGCTGCACAATTTGGCCTTTTCCCCCATTTTGACACTC